TTTTAGAACTTGTAGAAAGGCAGAATTCAACTCGGCTGTGTGCAATAATTCTCTTAGAAACTTTTGAATAGCTGTGTACTCTTTTATCTTAGTGAAATCTTATTTCTTATTTTCTTTACCTTTTTCTTTTATTTCTTTATTTCTTTACTTCCTATTTTCCTTCTTATTATTTATCAATAAACTATCTTATTATTATTTTATACATCTGCGTGATATTATATATTGTTGTCTAAGTGACATTATACATCTGAGTGATCTTATAAAACTTGAGCAATTGTGTAAATCTTTGTGAATTAAGGTAACAGTTAGGCCTTCGTGACAACAACAGTCGTTGTGAATCTTTAAAAATACACTAGTCTTAGTGAGTTACAATTAAATACGTTTGGGTGGAACCAATTATAAATCCAGTACTTGGGAATAAATTAGTAGATTACTACGTATATTAAAAAGAAACAACTTTCAAACACCTCGTTTAACTGTAGCGATCCACCAAAATCGCACGTTAACAATAGTATAGGCAAATTATATAACAGAATATTTGATTCATTAATAAAAATTAATTTTGAATTCATTAATATTATTAATATGAAAAGGTTGTTATTTGATATTAAATCAATTGATTTTAATATAGGATCATCTTCAATTTTCCAATTGCCATTTGATTAAATATTATGTATATAGCAATTTTTTGACTTGATTAATTTGTCTGGTTGAAGTTAAATAATCAAATGGGTTTAAATTGTGGATTATCCCTTGACTACTAAAGTATTTTTAAATAAATAAAATCTAAAAAAATGTGTTTCTGAATGACATGTCTTAGTTTCTAGATTTAAAGCCTATTATTAAAATAAATTTTATATTAATAAAAATTTGTTTAACCTATTATTATTATTAATAGTAAGTAATTATGTACTTTAACATATAAATTTGTTGCATTCGAACTTGATTTTTCTGATTTTACATAGTATTGAAGACATTTGACCGATTGCCTATTTTTAAGCTTCTCCCAATTAGATTTTTAAAAATTTATTTATTAGATAAAATGATAGTGATGGTGGTCTTGCATCTAAGATTCGGTTTGTTAAATTCGAACCTTAATAAAAATACTTTATTTATTATGAGCTAAATATTGATAAACTTATTTCTCCAAACGAAATTAGTCCATAAAAAATATGTATCAATTCATGTCATCAGAATAATTATGACTTGACAAAATTGATTGAAGTTCGGAAATTTCAAGTATGGGATTGAAATCATTAGTCGGATTATACAAGGTTTATCATAAAATTTAAAGCTGTTTTTTTAAAGGAACAGAAATAAAGAAATAAAATAAAAAAATTTTTCTAACTGAACAACAAATTACTTACAATATATTCAATACAGTTTTTAGATATATTTTACCATAAATACATCAATGTCTTAGTAAAGTAACAATTTTTTTTATAGCTGAATAGTGTAAATTATATTTTAAGAAAGATGGCCAATCAAAGTATTTAGAGGTACAAGTAAAGTTTTATAAAGTCCCAAAAAAATTGGGGCATATTTAACGTAATAAAAAAATATAAAAGCGAAATTACATAGAGCTTTCGAGCTCAGCTAAACAATCTTATCATACTATTTAATAGTTAAAAAGTCGGAATGACTTCTAGATTTGGTAGAATCAATAGTAACATTATCAAAGATGTCATTAGATTAAAAATTGAGATTGCGAAAAGGTAAATTAATTTCCATCTATTGCAAAAGATGATGGCGAATTTTGGCTAGTGCTGTTAACACTTCATTTCTTCCGTCTGGATCTGCGAGACCAAGTCCGGACTGCTTATCATTCTCCCCGGCCATCTATTTATCACAACTAAATGTTTTTGTGGTAAACCCACATCAAGCTCTTCCCAATATTTTGCAGGAATCTCAGCCTTGTAAAACGTAACATACGTAGTAAAAACGCGGACGGCAAATATGACCTGATCAGTAAGGTTAATTTTACCAGCACGTTTATTTTCGGCGAGTATCTCGGCAGCGATTTGCGTTTCTCCAAAATATCTCACGTGATCAACGTTTTGCAAGTGTCTATACAGTTAAAAAGATTGTTTGAGCCAGAAAATCAAAAATACACATACCTCTACAACTAAAATAGCCACTCGTATCTTATAAACCACAAATTCAGGCTTTGCTGTAACATAAGGCTTTCCTAAAATATATAATCTGCTTTTCGATTTATTCCTAAGTTTTGACGAATGAGAATTTTAGAAAATCATTGGAGTGAGAGACAAAGACTTTCTCATAATTACTCACATTATCTTCAAGGGTCAGTCATTCAACATATCAATACGAAGCAAATCATCAACTAATGTGTCGGTTCTAGATTCGGGTATCCCCAAGTTTCTCGTGACATCATGCAGTTTGTAAATGAATGTTCGGACGCTACTATTCGAAATTTCATTAACATTATCAACATTGAAATCTGATTGATTGAGTATCGTTTTACTGATTTTGGGACAAAGATATTGTTGCGGAAATTCTGTGAATTCCTCATTAGGAATAACGTAGTCTTCGGTTGAAATCTCACTCTCAGTGCCTTTAAATCTTCTCTGGTGAAATCAGATGCTTTAGTATTGATGTTGACTGGGAGCATAGCTTTGACTTCTTCTCGCGAAGTCGAAAAGGTTTCAAGTAATGTGGAAGTAGAGGAGAAATAGATTACTGGTCGAAGAGTACATAATGCAGGACGAGAAAACCTCGCCACGAGACCGCGCAAAGAAGAAATTATTTTGCAGATTTACATCCGATCGAATCATATGATTGGCTAGTAATCGGACGTATCGCATAAAGTGAGAATATTTCTACTATTTTTTTTTAAAATTTTTAGTAATATTTACGCAAAGACAAATCCTTTAAACGAAATCTGTATGTTTTCTGTTATGTTTAATTTTTTTATACAATTTTTATATATTTCAAATTTCAAATTATTTTCTGAACGATTTCACTACATAAAAAATGTTTGATTTCATTCGTTTCGCCTAACCTTCATTAGAAGGTTATATAATGGAGGTTAATTTTTTTTAATAATAAATGTGACGTGTAAAATTTAATATATTCGAAGAAATCATAAATATAGTTAATTTGAACAATTTTAAATAATAAAAAATGTTGAAAAGCAAAAGTATTTGCGTAATTTGCGTAAGGCTTATCATATTTTACTAGTATAACTTTGAGACATTACTAATGTGTTAATACTAACGTCATATTCAATTCGTCATATTGTTGATACAATTGAGTTTCATTGCATGTCGAGTTGGTTTAATGAGTTTATTTTTTTTTACCCGATATATTTTTGATGTACTAGAAGTAGGAGTAAAAAACCTCTTTTTATCATAAATATTAGAAGAAACCGCAAGGTTTGTAAGCTGTGCTTTTAATTTCGTAAACAATAAATCAGGATACCTGAACGATTACTTGGCCTTGAATAAAGTCAATTTCGTTTGTTTCCCCGTCAAGGAAAGAAGCCTTTCCATCCTTTTCGAAAGCAGATGATTATTTAACTTACTCTCATAATATTTTCCTCACTTCAAATATTATTTTAATTTGCTTCTTGGTAATATTGAACGTTTGCAATGTATAATCACGCTTGAATTGACGTATCAAAGATTGTTTTTATTTGAATATCAATCTTACGGAGCCAATTTTTTTATAGTAAAAATAATAGAAAGTTAGTCTGTGATAATTATTGTCCCGTTAATTTTCCATATAAAATTCTTCTCGTCCTTGTTTCTTGGTGCCTTTAGTCTTTTCCATCTCTATGCTGTTGCTTGTACTCTTGATGGTGACGGTTGCATATGTAAGAATCTCGACTGCTGCCCGACCTCAAAATCGCTTTTGTGGTTTCGAAAAAGGATACACGGCCGAGGATGAAAATGTACCGATTCTCTGGATTATTTATGTGTTATAGATGATAATTGTGTGCAAAAGAAATATCTTAATATCTCAATAAATTGGTTAATTTTTTTTTTATTTGATGTATTTTTATTTTATATAATTTAATTTTCAAATTATTTTTTGTTTATTTCGATTAGTTATTCAATTAATAATAATGTTTCGGGCTAAACCACTTTTCTTAATATATCGAAAATTAATATTACTCATAATTTGGGGAGTTTCGGAGAATTGCATCCTCGGCGAAACGTATTTCGGACAGTTTCGGTATTGATTTGGACGAAAGGTTTAGCCTGAATCATTAGTTTAAAATAAAATTTGAGATTTGTTGTAAAGGATTTATCAAATATTTATAGCTTTTTGTTTTTAAAAATAAATAACAGAGATATAATTCGTCAGATCACGACTTTCAATTATAACAAACTGCTTTAACTTTTTAAAATTTAATGTGTAGCTTGTATATAAATAATATGAAATAAGTGATAAGATTTAAATTACTTTAAAGCAAAAAAATCTTTAACAAATCGACTCAGCAAATTTCAAATGACTGAGAGTTGCTGTTCTATGTTTGATATAATGTGAACATCGCGAAGTTTCAATCAAATTTTAGCCGAATGGGATTCTGACAACTGGTAAAAAACTTATAATTATCTATGGTTTGAATTTTAAATATTAAGACATTATTAATAAAATTATGGTTGCTAATTTCAAATGAGAGTCGCGACTCAGTCGAGGAATGAGTTAACTGAACTAGGTCTAATGGCTGACTGAGGCTGTTTCCAGGATTTTTCACGGCTGGTACTACGAGTTTTTATATTAATATTATTCGTTAAAACGCAACATTTTAAATCTTGATTTTTGAAAAATTTCGAAATTAAAAGTCTTTTCAACATTTTAGGGCGCTTGAGTAATAAAAATCTCGTGGTCTTCAGCAAAAGTTTATTAATTTATTGTGATCTTTAATATATCAAGTTCACCTTTTTATTTCAGCACAAATATTGGATAGATTGATCATTATTATAGTTTTCATTTCGTCGAAAAATTCTTTAAAAATTAATGCGCAATCGTTAACGACCAAATATGACAATAATCACATAATAAATTTTTTGTTAATCTCAAATCCCTCTTATCACACCACCCGCTATAATTTATAAGTTTACACACTCATAAAGGAAGACTAGACTACATGGTGAATCCGTCTACCTATCCGAAGACATGGTGAAAGAGTCTACCTATAACCATCGCCTCCCTCCACAAGAGGGAGCTTAAACACTCACAAAAGTGAATGCAAACTAAGGAACAAACAGATGGATTCTATTCTTATTTATATTAAAAAGTGTAAAAATGTGAAATTGTGGGATTCAAGGATCTTCATGATCTTCACTAATTATGGAAATATATGGTTGATCGTCACTGTATATTAATCGCAATTTTTAATTGATTTTTAATTCTGAAATGATAACATAAGTTTAATACAACAAAAACAAAACTAAATTTTTAATTATACAAAAAAAAATAAAAAAAGGAAGAAAAGATTGGTGACTTGCAAATCGACATTCAAAATTTTTAAAAATTTATTAAAAGAGCTAGAAAAAGTTTATAATAAATAATAAATTAAACAAATCTTAACGTAAACAAAATAATTTATTAAAGTGGATTGATGTCTATAACAAATAAAAACCTTAAAAAAAATTTAAAATTACGTTATATACATTATACATCTACTTCAAACACACAACTATCACAACCAAAATAATAACTCCACTTTATAATAACCCTTACAACCCTTACAACTACAACAAATTATTCATCTTCACACCAATATTTCTTTATTTCAAAAGTATTAATAAATATTTAAATACAAAAAAGAAAAAAAAAACAAGGTATATATTATTATTTTATATTTAAAAACTCTATTTGAAAAAATAATAATCTATAATTAATTAAAAAATTTATAAATTTAATGAATTTAAAAAAATTATAATAAATTTTTTAAATTTATTTTAATATTAATTTTTTTATAATATATTTAAAATATTTAAAGTTAATAAATATAAATTAGAAATTATATTTATTTATTAACATAAATTTTATTTAATAATTTAAATTTAAATTTTACGAAAACTTAAATTAATTATATTTATAATTATATCTTTATAAATATTATTCTTTAAATTAAACATAATAATATATTTAGAAAGAATATATGGGAGGTTTGCTAGGAAAATGGGACTCTGAGACTAAAAAATTTTTTTGAATAAATTAAAAAATCAAAATAAACAAAAAACTAGCTTTAAATTTGAGGTGATCTATTTTTAGGTCATGTGATATATATCATATGATATAAATTATTAGCTAAATACTTTTTAAGTTGTAATTTGTTGATCATTTCCTAAATAATACATTAAACATGTTTATTATTTCCAAAAATCTATTTCTAGATTTACTAAGTAATAACTTTCAATATTATATATTTTTTTTTTGAAAATAAGCTAATGTAATATAAAATTTTAACCAATTAAAGTTTATAAGTTATTGATTAATATGTATCAAAAATTTCAATTTTTTAAAAAATGTCTTAGAACCCTATTTTCCTAGCAAACTTTCCATATATTAAAAAAAATATGAATTTTAACAAATTTTGATAATTATAATTTATTTTATATTTATATATTAGAGATTTTGTATAATATAAATAAATAAAAAATGTAGCATTCTAAGCAAAATATAAAATTTTAAATATTTATTACTATTATAAAAGTAAATATTAAAGAATTATATATAATAGTTTATTTTATATATTTACATTTTTTTTAAAATAATTTTTTGAAGAGTATTTACAGACTAAAATATTTAATATTATCTTTTATTAAAATAAAAAATACTAATATTTTTAAACTTTTTAATGTTACATTATCTTTATTTAACATTATTAATATCTTTATTTAGACTTTTATTACTTTTTTTTTTTGAATATATCTATAAATTTTACAGATAATATTATATTACTTGCTTATTAAGCCATTTTTTTACATCAGTAAATGGAAAGCTATAGCTGGATTTTTACAAGCATCCCATAATCCCTTAGTATTTTGATAAAGACTTTCAGGATAATAATATAGTTTTTGTAAGACAAGATGCCAGTTTAAATCATAAGCTTATTTGCTTATATATTATTAGAAAAATTAAAAGCTTCAATATCTTAAAATATTCTTTAAAAGATAAGTTGAATTTTAAACATTTTTCTGAATTTTTAACATTTTCAATATTTTTACTAATAAGCAAAATTTAGATATAATAAATTATTTAGTTTTGATTTCATTCTAAGTTTAATAGAATAATCTAACTTTTTGCAAAAATATATATTTTGAATTTTAAACAAATTTATCTGTTTAAATTTATTCTAATATTTATTAAATTTAATAATAATCATAATTATTAAATAATATAATAGTTTAAATATTTATCAATTTAATATTATATATAAAGATAAAAAACAATAATTTATATATAGAAAAATTGGGCTATTTATCTTATAATATAGATATAGATAAATATTAAAATAATACTAAAACATATTGATTATTATACTTTTAGATATTTGTGGATTAAAACTTTAGAAATATTCTTAAAAAAATAATTAATATTATTTTATTAGTATTATTTATATATCAATAAAATTTTTATCACTTTTTTTATTGATTTATTACAAGTATTAATAAAAAATTATACAATAGTTTTCAAAAGAAATATAAAAAAAGTTACTTATTTTTAAAAGCTTATAACTTTTCAACTATAAAATGCTAAAAATATAATTTTGTATTAATTTTATAATATGATTATAGAATAATTTACTTTTTTTTATAAGGTTTAAGTTATAGTAATCTTAAAATAATTTTGTAATGTAAAAATTGAATTAATCTTAATAAGAAATAATTTACAAATATAAATTTATTTTAAAAGTTTTTATTATTTACTATAATTAAAAATAAAAAAATATGGTTTTATTTTAATATAAAACTAAGATCTTTTCAGTAAACTAAAAAAAAGTAAGAAAATTTATTAATAATTATTCATAATTTAAGTAATTAATATTATTTTATAGAAAAAAATAAAAAAGTTTATTGAAAGCTTATATCATAATAAAAGAAAATACCTAAAGTAACCTATATCTTAAAAATCTTATTAAAAATTAAAAATTAAAAAAAAAATTAAATTCACTCAAATTATTTGTTAGGAAAAATTAAATTTAATGTAATATAATTTTAATAATTTAATCTGTATTTATTCAGATTTTTACTTGATTTATATAATTAGTTATATAGATTTTTATTAATCTATATAGTATATATAGTTAATTTTGATAATGTATTTTATCAAAATTGAATTCAGATTTTATATAATTGCTAGATTTTCATATTTTAAATTGCATGTATAGATTTGATTTGCAATTATTTTATATATAACATTTTTTTTTTGTGAGAAAAAACTAACTTCATTTATAAAAATAGATGCAATTATTTAAAATTAATGAACAATTACTACAAAATCTAATTGCTTAGTTCATCTCTTGAATTTTCTTAACTTGCTTTCATTATAAGTAATATTTGATCATTAGATGATATATTTGTCTAGATCATAGAATGTATCCTTTATTATATAGTTCAAATAATTTGTAATAAGCATTATTTCACTGGATTTATTTTTGAGCCTATTATTAGGTAACATTTTCAAATCTTTTAAGACTAAAAACCCAAGTTTTTATCCAAAATTAAATTGTTTAAAAATTCTATTAAAAACAAATTTATGGCTTTGTAATGTGATTCTTTATTTGCTTACTTAATCACTTTTTAAATCTTTTTTTACTTTAAATTTAGTTCTATTTATTGTGTTAGAGCAATTTGTTAGTATTTTTCATTAAGTAAAGGAAAACCAAATATATTAATCATTATATTTAAAACTATGATACATTAATATCTAATCATTTTTTTAGATCCTTATTCTTAAAGTATAAAT